CGGGTGGGGAGCTCTTGGCAGCAGCTTTAATACAGTCGCTTTGGCAGTCTGCAGCAAATGAGAAGGGGTGATACGTTTACTCTGACATGACAAGCGCACGCCGTTCCTAAAGAAAGAAATGATTCCAAGCAAAGGAAAACTTAGTTACTGGAATAAGCTCATCACTACCTGACAGTAGCTCGCAGACATTTTTGGAAATGGGAGCTTCTTCCAGCCGATGGGGCCACTGGGCATTAGAGTTAGGGGCAGCCGTCCTGGCCCGTCTCTGTGGGGTTGTCTGAGACACTGAGTTGCTGTCTGTAGAGAACCCCAGAAATTGCTCTGTGAAGGGCAAATGGGGACATCCACAATATGGAGGCGTCTTCTCATCTGTAAAGAATCGCCAAGGGCTTCCTTTTCAGTTACAGCTTCCTGGGACTGTGGAGCTCTACTCAGGGTGTCCTGACAGGGCTGGGAGTTTGTGTTTTAGCCCAAAGGGTTCAGATGCCGGTGTGGAGAGAGGAAGATCCATGACTTCTGCTCAGCCTCATCATCCCCAGCTTATTAGGGTAGGATACCTACATCCTACTGAAACAGCATTGAAACAGCCTTGTCTTTAAGGGAAGAAGCATCCTGGTGTCTCTTCTACCTCCTTCCAATTTCATTCCTAGAGCCGGTACCTGTCGGTGACCCATCAAGCTGTGACCATGGGTCTCCACCACATCAACCTCTTCCAGCCCTTTTTTGTTTCCTGTCCCATCCTTTCTTTAAAAAAAAAGGGGGGGGCTGGAGAGATGGCTCAGAGGTTAAGAGCATTGCCTGCTCTTCCAAAGGTCCTGAGTTCAATTCCCAGCAACCACATGGTGGCTCGCAACCATCTGTAATGGGGTCTGGTGCTCTCTTCTGGCCTGCAGGCATACACACAGACAGAATATTGTATACATAATAAATAAATAAACAAATAAATATATAAATAAATAAATAAATAAAAAGACAAATCACTCCACATCCCTCATCACCCCCAACAAACAAGTCCTGAAGTATAAGTTCATTATGTTTATAAGCAAATATAGCTGGCTTTGATAAATGTAGGCAACCAGTAACTAAATCAGTACTCTGCATATATAGATATATAAAATATATATATATGTATATATATATACAAAATTAAGGCACAAAGAATCCCCGGGGGATACATAAGAAAAAATAAGAACAAATCCTTAAAAGTCAAATTTTAATAATAAAGTTCCCAGTGAGATACCACTACATAGTCCCTGGAGTAGCAGTAATGGAGAAACAGCCAAGTGGTGGTGGTTGGATGTGGGGAACCTGGACCCATCCTGCTTGGTGAATGGAAATGTAAGATCATGCAACCACTTATAAAATAGCATGTTAATGTGAACTCACTGCACAGCCCAACAGCTGCTCTGCCAGGACTCTCCCCAAGAGAAGTTGAGACATATTTGTACAAAAGCTCACATGTGAATGGTGATGGCATCATTCTTCATAATAGCCACAAACTGAAAACAACCTAAATTGTCCATTAAGTGATGGCTAGGTGAGCAAAATATAGTATATTCACACACTGGAATGATAAAGTTTAAAAACAAAGTTCTGATATATGCTGCATGTGAACAAATCCAACAAATTTACTAAGTGAAAAATGCCGAAGAAAAAGCTACGCATTGTGCGATTCCATTTATATGACTCTGGGAAATGCAGGTTTGTAGAGACAACGGAGCTATGATTGTCGGGATCTATGATCTGAATAATTGCAAATGGTTGTAAGGCACCTTTGAGGGGGGTCTAATGGAGGTGTTAAAACTGGGCTGTGGTAATCTGTATTCTCAATGACACTTATGCTGGGGAAGTTCCATGGAATATGAATTTACCCCATGAGACTGTTGATGTTGACGGCATGCACCACGGTCAGTGCACTAAGTTTTCTTCCTTTGTGTGAAACAGGAACTGTGGCCGAAGGGTGGACTACACAGCTTTGAGTTTCCTAAGAAGGGTGCCCTCACCAGGACGAAATAGATGAGACTACCTGATCTTGGACTTTTACTCCCCAAACTGAGCAAAATAAGTCCCTTTTCTTTGTAACAAATCGCCAAGCTTCCAGTATTTCATCATAGCGACAGAAAGCAGTGATACAGTAGTTAGAGTGTATCAGCCACCCCATCAGGACTCAGTAGAAAACTCATTTCCATTTTGGCTTAAGAAGGCCCTCAGTGAAGCACTGTAAATTCCATTTCATTACATCTCGTGCTTGGAGGCATATCTTTCTCCCAGCCTCGCAATGCAGTAGGAGATGTGGATGAAGCATCTCCTTTGCCTACCCAAGGATGATGTCTCCAGGAAGAAAAGCCCTTGTGGAGTTGACAGAAATGTTAGCCGAGTGTGCGGTTCTTTCTTTCAATGGGATAGCGTAGCTCCTTTAAAGAACCTGGATGCTCAAACCTGGGAATTTGGTAAATCATTTCCTCAAAAATGAATGAAGAGAGATTTTTGGTTTAAGGAAAGTAATTGATAGGAGTTTGTCATTGACAGGGGTTTGTTTTCAGTTTTGCCAGTGTTCAAATTCAAACCTTAACCAAAACCTGTAATGTTGGAAAGCTTTGTGTCCTCCATGATGGACTTGGCAACAACAGTCAAGAGATTTCTGGTGGTATGGGTGGAGATTTCAGCAAATGTGCTTTTTTTTTAAACAATGTGAATGAGGTGTCATATCTTGAAGATGATGGATAGAAGTGTTGGTTCTAAACATGAGAGCTATGGCCAGTAACTAATACCGTGAACTCTGGAGTCAGGCTACCCGGGTCCAAAGCCTAGTATCACCACTCATTACTTGTATAACCTCAGTTAGGTTCTTCATCATCCTATGCCTCAGTGTGCTCATCTGTAAAATGGGAATTAAGTGACTAGGCGTGGTGGTATACACTGTAAAACTGAGGAATAAAGCTTGAGACTTCAAGACCAACACTATCTCAAGAAAGAAAGAAAAAACGGTAATAAAATGTTACCTAATTCAGAGGTGTTGTAGATGTGAAAATGAGTTAATGTATGCAAATATTTATGAACACTAAATATATATATATATATATACACATACTCAGTTGTTATTACTGGTCTTGATGAATAATAATTTATAAAATAAAAACTTAAGTACATAGTAGAAGTTTTGCCTTTGAGCCTCTGTCATTTGAGGGTTGTTCTTAGCAAGTATGTGTAATAGGTTTTTAAGAGAGATTTGAAGAGGTAATATAATTATGTAGAGTAGTTTAAATAAGAATATAAGTATGTTACAGTTATGTGACATTTCAGTTCCCTGCCTCCATGATGTTGAAAATTATGATGTATCATTTGAGCTCTAGGAATTTGGGAGATTATGTGACCAGAGGGGAGTGGCAGATCATCCCTGCCCACTTTGTGTTTAAGAACACATACAGCTTCAAGGAGAAAGTGTTCAACTTGGAAGAAACCCGTGTGCTCGACCCTGCTGGAAGGCTTCTGTCAATCTATTTTCTTCTCTGAGATGTACAGGAAGGCCATTCGTTTGCTGGCTCTGTTCGTGTACTTTGCTGCTCTGTGCAGAACACCCTGCATGATTGCAGAAGACCCTGCATGATGCTCGAGGCCTTTGTCAGGCAGCACAACCCCAATAGGAACAATGAACTTTGGGCTTGGGCTACTGGAGCCGGTGCGGTACTTAGCTAATTCTCCCACCTGCTTTGTGAAAGCTCCAGTAACTATCTGTTGTTCCCTGTCTACCCCAGCAAAGTAACCAGAATAATCCATGCCTTTTAAATTTAGTTTGTTTATCATTGGGGAGCGTGGCCAACACAGCATGCTTGTGGAGCTTTTGGAGTTTGTTCTCTCCTTGCACCATGGGTTCTGGGGGTGGAACTCAAGCATCAGGCTTCTGTAATGAGCTCTCAGTGAACCACCTCACCAGCCTTAGTTTATACTTCTTAAATGCTTAGGAATGCATTATTTTAGTATAAAGAAGGCAAGGTGGCCTGTAGGAGAATGGTAATTGTTTTCTTTTCCTAGAACATGAAATTACCATATTTTTGGAGTGCTAATATTATGCAGACCCACTCATGTTTGATGGTAAATAACAACCAGCCAGAGCATAGAAAAGTTGCTGGCATTTCACTGGCTCAAAGGGGATTCGCTCTCTTCAGAGAAGCAGGGACACAAAAGAGTCAGTCCATTTGGGATCTGTCTCTTTCATGTCCTCCAGGCCACTCGGCATGTGGCGGAGCTGGGAAGGTAGTCCAGCTCTTAAGTAGTGGTCTCTTCAATTCTGGTCACAGTTCAGGTTCTTTAAGGATGAGCAGCCTCCTGTTAAGGAGGCTTAGAATGTTCTTTCCTTCCACTTCCAGGGTATTTTTGCAAGCTACGCGAAAAGCTCTTTGTTTGTGTCTCTACAAGTGCGGGGTGGTAGTGAGCTTACTGACATACCAGCAATTTAATACCTGCGTATTCTTTGCTCTGTGGCTGCTGTGCTAGAAATACAAAATCTTGCCAAGCTGAAAGCCAAAGACTTTTACTGATCCACTAGAATCAGGTCCCAAAATTTACTGTGAAGTGAAACTGCTGTCATGTCCCTGTCCCAGCTAGGGCCTTACTCACACTCTGTGTCTTAGCATCCTACTGCAGCCAGTTCCTCTGCACAGGTAGGCAGTGCCTGCGATTGTCCCGTTTCCCTTTGTCTGATACTGGAACCTTTTGTCGATTCTCTCACCGCTAAAAATCGGTAATTAAACACTAGCTACATGCTGTTTTCTAAGCACAGTGGTACCTGCTACAAAGCCAACTCTTCATTACAGTACTTCCTGTTCCAGTGTCTGGCAGGTTCTGCCTGCCTGATGTAACATCTTTGCAAGGACCCTTGTCTTTTTGGCATACCCAGCTTCAATAGAGGGGCTCCAGCAGATCAAAGAGTTTCTGACAAAAATGCCCGCTTATTACATAACCACGGGTTCTCATCTCGTACATGTGTGCTTGCATTTCAGGAAAAAAGTGCCAGCTCGAATGCAAGGCTTAAAACTAATAAAGAAGTCCCTGGATTGGTCCATCAACCCAGAGCAAAGTAAGTTCTGCCTTCTCTTTTCCTTGTATTGTCCTTAAAGCCCCGTTTCTGCCTACCAAGTAGTCAAGGTTTATTATAGAGCTTTAGTAATCGAGACAGTAAACAAAACATACTCTCAGAACATCCTCAGTGCATGTCAAAGCTGACAGTTTCAGGCCGTTTAGTAAAATAAATAAATAAGAGGATTAGCTTTATGGCTATCTCAGATGGGGAGATCCTGATTAAGATATATAAAATAATATAAATCTTACAGGAATTTACTGATTGGTGGCTGCATTAAAATTGTGAACGTGTCGTCATTAGAGTATACTATAGGACAGCAGAGGTCACGAGACAGAGGAAGGCGTACAAATGACAATATCGACTTTCCGGAATGCAGAAGCTAATTCTACAGATAAAGCTGCAGAACCCAGAGAACGGGCTCACACATGAAGAGCCCTCTGACTGAGGAGGAAGCCTGAGCGGCTGGTGCGTTTGCAAAGCGTGTTATTTCATTCCTTCCGATTCTCGAAAATGTCTAAGTCTGACAACACAGAAGCTGTCAAGATGATGAACACCAGATCCCCTTTAGCCCCTACGTGTGGGTTCACAGCAGTGCAGCTGGAAGGGAGTGGCAGAGGGTGCAGTTTCCTACCTAGTAAAGTTGAAACTAGGCAGACTTTACCCTCCAGCACCTCCGGGGTTGCATATGCCCCTGAGATACACGTTTCCGCCGGGAAACGTTTGACATCTCCATAACAGCGGTTTAGATAAGCTTTTGGAAGTAAAACCAAGTGTCCATCGGTGATATAACAGGTAACGGTGCTGTGGCGTGTTCTTCTGATGGGAATGCTGTGTGGCAGTCAGGGAAAATAAATGAGGGAGGAACGTGTTCCACACATCTGGGAGGGGCATTCTCAGAACAGTTAGTAGCAGAATGTTCCTTTAAATTCAAAGATATAAATGAGCAGTATTACGTGTATAAGTATATGGCAAAGATAAGCCAAGAAATAAGAAAGCATTAAGTCGAAATGGTGCACCTGACTGGGTGAGACACAGGTGGACCCAGGGGCTCTCTCTCCTGATCTGATTGTTGCTTATAATGCATAATTTTAAGAGATTATTAACTTGAAAAAATACGCTGTGCCTAGAATATCTCCTCAGTGGCCTAGGTACTTAAGATACTTTTGGCTTCCAACAGATGGACACTCATTCATCATTTTACTAAAATAGCTAATGTCTTGGGCATGGTGGTGCATGGGTTCAATCCTAACACTTTGGAGACAGAAACAGGAGGATTACCATGCATTCCTGGCCAATTGACTTAGTGAGTTCCAGGCAAACCAAGACTACAAAGCAAGAAGCTGTCTTAGAGGAAAAAGTAAATAAAACAGTACATAAAAAATAAACATTGACTCATTTTTTAGATTGTTCTAGGGCCTAGTCCATATTGGTGATAAAATTCACTTTGTGACCGTGTGACTACCGTTACATTTCTTAAGAGAGGCTGTTGGTCTTTACTGTAGTACTCCGCTTAAGGCCAAGAAAATTCCCAAGGACGCAAGCATGTTTGACATATGTCACCTCTTCCCCATTCTGATGTCACATCACGACCGTAGCAGAAGAAGTGTGTCATTACTGGGCCTTCCTGGAAAACTGAGTTTACAACAACCTGTTTCGTGATCCCTGTGGTGGCTATACTTGGTTGTCAACTTGACTACATCTAGAACTAACTAAAACCCAAATGACTGAACACACCTGCCAGGTGTGTTAACCAAATCATTTAAAGTGGTAAGACCCACTTCTCATCTGGATCTTTGAGCTGGAAATACCCATCTCTAATCTGGGGCGCCCTGTCTGCTGGAAGCTTATATAAAGGACATGGAAGAAGGAAGCATTTGCTCCCTGCCTGCTTGTTCTCACCCCCACTAGCAAGTCCTTTCCTTCACTGCCTTAGAGCCTGCTCTTTTGGATTCCAGTGTCTACTGAAGACCAGCTGAGACATCCAGCCTGTGGACTGAGCAGCTACAGGATTCTTGAACTTTTCCATTTATAGGCAGCCATTGTTGGATTAGCTGGACCATAGCCTGTAAGCCATTCTAACAAATC